CTAGTCAATGCTATCTGGAAATAGGCTTTATTTTTAAAATGAGCAATTCATTACAGGAACAAGATAAGGACGATACTAAGGTACCACGAAGTCCACCTTTAGCAGATTTCAGACCAAGTCTTTCTGGAGGACACGTTTTAACTTTATTCTGATATATCTGAGTGAAATTACATAGCTCCTGATCAGAGCTGAATGAGACTTTCTGATGCCCTTGTCTGGATATTCTCCCTCTACCTCCCGTTTCTCATCTGTGATTTCAATCCCTTCTTCCTGGGCAGGAGCAGTGACAGACAGGACTTACGTGCATTCGTTCCCACCCGGATTCTACGTTTGGTGCAGTCTTATCTCACTATTGCAATGTGGTCCCTCCACCTGCATTGTCACTTCCATCCAAAAGCTCTGCAGATTCCTGAACTGTGCAGTGCATTTCTGTCCTCAATGTCTCTCCCATTTTAACATATGTCTCAACTGAATTGATGGCAAAGGCCGGCAGAAAACACAAGTCCACAGAAGTTCACTGGTCAGAAAATGCTACTTTCAGCATCTTAAGAGATGCCTGAACTGGATTGTGGCACCAGACAAGGCTGGAACTGGTATCTTCACTGTGGAGCTAAGTACTTTCTCAGAATCTTAGAATCATTGAGGCTGGAAGAGACCTCCAAGATCATCAAGTCAAACCGCCAACCAAACATTACCATGACCACTAAACCATGTCCTGAAGTACCACATCTACATGTTTTTTTAATTCCTCCAGGGATGGTGACTCCACCAGCTCCCTGGGCAGTTAGGTCCAGTGCCTCACCACTCTTTCAGTAAAGAAATTCTTCCTGATATCCAATCTAGACCTCCCGTGGTACAACTGAAGCGCATTTCTTCTTGTCCTATTGCTAGTTTCTTGGCAGAAGAGACCAACACCCATCTCACTCCAACCTCCTTTCAGGCAGTTGTAGAGCAATAAGGTCTCCCACCTCAGTCTTCTTGGGCCACTGTCAAAAGACCATGGGTGTGAAATGTGTCTACAAGTATCCCTGCAAATGTGAAACCTCAGTGTCTAATTAGGTCTTCACCCCAAAACCAGCTGCTTGATGGGTGTGTGTGTGTGTGTGTTGGTAGATATGGGCCTTCATAAGCCTTAATTAAATGCTAGGCTAATTCCTAAATGTGGAGAACATTTAAAGTTGGTGGTTACAGTGGTTCAGGCAATACGGCACTACAAAATGTTTACTGTTTCAAATAAACCCTTGAACAGTGAAGACTATATGGGTTGGTGGCCATTCCAGGAGAGCTGTGAGGCAGTTCACTGCTTACAAACTTGGGGGGGAGGAGAATAATGTAATTTCATATGGGCCATGACAGGAATGAAACCATGCTAAAACGTGGGTTTGCCTGAGGAAGGTGGGTAAGAAGAGGAAGCAGTCCTTGTCAGCACAAGGAAGCATCAAACAATAAGGGGAGGAGCAGGCTAAAGAAATTCCTATTCCCCAAGAGTTTCCTTTTAAGCACAAGGTGGGTGTGTCTCCCTCCAACATAAAACACATCCTAAAATAAACATGCACAATTATTTGTGAATATACACATTCCTTATCGTGCAATGTTGGTTTGTATCCATTTAGAAGCTACAGCCAGAACCTTCCAAGTGGCTCAAACAGCAAAGGAAGCAGAAATTGAAGCAGAATGAAGTTGTTGTGACAAAAAACAAACAGTTATGCTTTCTTTTCAGTAACTGTCTGGGTTATTTTTTAAGCAAACACTTGAACTCGTCTCCAACAGGAGGGAAAAAAAAAAGGAAAATTGTTTAAGGAACCTCATGAAAGGCAGATCAACACACAGAGTAGTAAGGAAAGAACTGTGTAAGGAATCAGTAGTGACCAGTAGCTGGCACGAGTGAGTAAGAGTAAGGAGAGTACAATGCCTGTTATTACTATGTTGTGAACACGGTCCATTACCATCAGTTCTTTTCCACTGGTAGTGTTACTGAAGGTAGCAGAAGGAAAAACTCAAGGTAACTTGATTCCTTTTGCTGTAGGAAGTTATCACTGCAGGGAAAGTGGGCAACTGTGTTTAACTGTGTTTAAGCTTTTTTTTTTTTTTTTTTCTTTTTAAGTGGATGTCTGCATTGTTGTTTTTCATAAAGCAAGTAAGTTCCTAAGCTTGGGCAATATCTACAATCTCTACATGCCATTCCCTACAGACCAGTCTTTTTCTCTGTACTCAGTGTTTCAGTACAGACACTTGGTCTGAGAAGAGCAATGAATGCAGACACTGCTTTCAAGCCTTGTCACATCCCAGGAATAGAGTAGGTATATTTGTCTGATACTCTTGGATAGACAGTCCTAGGAAAAGCCAGGTGATGCAGGAAGTGATATAATACCCCCAAAGTGATGTTTCTTCCTTGGAGTTAGTCCTAAAAATGCCTCGTTATTGTGGTTAAGGGGTCCGGGACTTGCTGATTTCTGGTGGGGGAGGTGTAAACACTCAGTTTTAGCTAATAAAAATTTCATGCATTTTACTACCAGAAAGTTAGTTTAGGATGTTGTGTTATGGCAATAACTGATTTTAAAATCTAAAAGTTAGATCTAGCTGGCGAGCTTACAAGATACTCAACCCACTTCTATTCCCTCCCAGTTTCTAACTAGCATTTTCAGCACTCTGCAGCCTTCAACTGCTGGAGACTTGGTGCTGGCTGCAACAGAAGCGAAGGTACTTAGCGACTGTTAAGTGTTTGGCACACAATGTTTCCAAAATAATCTGCAGGGAAAGATTAGCGGCCTGTTCTGTGATTTCAATAATTAGACAGACACCGTGGAGCTCAAAGCAGCAGTGGATACTGTGAAACAAGAGTACCCACGACAGCACCCGAGACTGGCAAACATGCAGTTCTCCCTCTCCTTTTCCCTAAGTTGTTTTACGCCTCTCACACATGCAGCTGCATTAGATAAAACCCAAGATACAGAATAATTCTTAATCAGTATATAATATAAGTGAACTGATTAGAACAGAGTTTTCACTCCTTCTGGGCTGAGCTGAGATCACTGACTCAGTTTTTAACTTGGATGAAATCTCTCTGGTGTCTCAGAATTCTAGAAAGACTGTTTTCAGACTACATCAGAATGCCAAATTATCAGCATCTTTCTGACTGTTGGAAGAAATTTCAGCAAGTTTAAGATCAGAAGAAAAAGCCTTTTATATCTCCCAGAGTCTAACCAAACAAATATGCCAGTATTAATTCAAGACAAATTACTCCAGTTGGCTAAGATAACAGTAAGAAGAGTATCATGACACCAAATATTAGAACATAGAAATAATTTTTAAGCAGTTTTCATTCAGTATTACTTAATTCTCAGCATGGTGCACAGCGGAATTTTAATTGTCTTCACTTCCAAATGTCAAAAGTCTGCATTCCAAAATACTCAAAATATAACAGCACAGTAGCTACGCTTCCTGCAACTTATGCCATGGATTAGGATTTCATATCCTAAGCTAACCTTTTCACAGGAACCACGTCCCAAATGGTGCCTCTTGAGACCTGTCCCCTTATTTCCAGTGTGTAGGCCTTTAAGAGTTTGCACAAATAATTTTTCCCATCTCTTCCATGATGAAATAGTTTGTGCTGTGCTTTTCCTTACAATGGAGAGCTCCCCTTTTTCCACTAAAATTTATTAATCAAAATTATAAAAATAATTAGGGATTTATGACTGATTAACCACGCAATTGCCTGTTGATGGTTAGGAAACATTACGAAGAGCAAACCCCTTCTCTTTACTTATTACCATCTGCAGCAATTTGGTGCACTGGCTTTTTCACACCACATATTTCGTGTAATCTAAAATCTCATCAGGGAGGATCCCCATTGTTGCCTACTTACCCAGCCTTTCAGCATTTCACTTAGTTATTTAAAGAATATTAATTTCACAACCAAAGCAATTGGAAATGGCTGTTGCATGTAAATGTTACTGTGAATAAAATGGTCATATATGACTTAATTCATCTAGCTTCAATCTATCTTATTGTCAATCTATCTGCTTGAATTCCTCTGCACATGTCAGCACATCCACCAGAAATAGTTTAGAGACCCTGGCTGGCCTTATTTTGCAAGAAAATTCACTTTTTAAAAAGTGTATTTTGATGTACAGAGAAGATTGTACCTGCCAGGGGTCCCAGCCTTTACAGGAGGAAGGAGGATCTTTTGACTAAAGAATTAACTGAAGAAGCTGTACACTAAAAACTGAACTTAAGTGTAAATCAGTGTTTAAACCCATGCTGTTGAAGCATTTAATTCAGTGTATTATAGCTCAGCTGTGTAATCAGTGTAAAGTATTAGCCAAGCTTTCAGCAAACTGTGTTGTCCCTCATGATTATTTTGTTTAATAAACAAAATATAACTCCGTATTTTGTTACTAGGGTGATGGCAGATGGGAAGATGGTGTGTCTGGGTACCGGCTGTTCACTTCATTTTGGCTGGGTTGAGTTAAATCTTGATCTGTTTGTAGAACTAATTTGGTTCAGTGCTGAAGTTCTGCAAACTGCATACTGAAATTAGAGCAATTGGTACCAAGTGTACTGTGTTGTAAGCACAGCCAGGGTGTCTGACAGGCGTGTCTCCCCTTGCAGCTGAACACTTCAGCGTCAGTGAATCAAAGCTGCAAGCGTCATTAGTACTTCTGAGCGCAGGAGGTGTAACCCACCTGCAGGTATCTGTGCATGAGGCATCAGCTCTGCAGCTGCACATCTTTCCCCCAGTGTGCTAGGGCTGCATCTAGTTCACGTCACTTTTGGCCTTAAACCACGTTCCCTGGAATAGCTACAGTGCCACAGGGGAGCACAGGACCTCTGCTTTGCTCCGTCAGCTCTCCTCTCAGCGCTCAGCCTTTTATTGGCTGGGCCCCTCCTGCAATACAAGTCACTGGTATAAGATAAAGTCTACTGTAGGATATAGTCTGCTGGCTTTAATAAGAAACCAAGATGACTAATATGTCTTTTCTCTGTTTTCTCTAGAAATCACAAAGCCACCACTAGCACCAAAACCAAAGATTATTGGTCATCTTTCTCCAGTAGCTGTCTCCAAATTTTCTCCTTCACTGCCAAGGGCGGATATTCTTCAGAACCCAAACTCTATGTCTAGGGGTCCCAAACCACCTATTGCTCCCAAGCCAAAATTCTCAGCTGACATTGAGGGCAAATCCAGTGTTTATACCAACAATAGCTTAAATAAATGCTCCAACGGGAAACTAGCATGTTCTGATGGACAGCTGTATGAAGGAAAACAATGCAATGCTTATTGCCCAGAATCTGAGGCAAGTAATGAATACAGTGTAGTTCCTGAAGCTCAGCTGACCAGTAGAGACTGTAATGACTTGGAACATGAGCATGATCAGAACTCAGACTCTGTGGAAAATGAAGTCTCAGAGACTCCAGAAGAGGTAAAGACGGAAGAAGATAACATCGCTAATGATGAGGATGCCAGTAATGGAGAAGTTACCAACAGTGAGCACTGTAACTCTTCAGATATTGATGAACCAATGGAACCAGACTCTGAAGAGTCAACCAGAGACTTTGTCCAGTCTGAAGCACTTTGTGAGGAGTCCTCAGATGCCCCTAATGGGGATAATGATGCTTCCAAGAATGCAGATGAAGCTGAGGATGTTGTAGGTGATTATAGTGAAACCAAAAACAAGGAGGAAGCTTCTAACAACCTGGAACTTGTTAATGAGAATAGTGATTGTAAGACTGATAGTGATAACATTTTGAATGCAGCTGAGGGACTAATGGGTGATATCTGCAAAGACACCGTTGTAATGACACTGCCCACAGAGGAATCAGTCCCAGGCTGTGAGAAGGCAGGGCAGCAGGAGGAGGAACTGCCTGAGAGTTTAGAAAAGGGAGACGGATGTCTAGCACACGATGGTGACCACAGTGGGCATGCAGAGCTTGATTTGAATACAGAAGGAGAGTTAGAAAATTATGACTGTGCAAGCCCTGACATGCTGCCTGAAGAGGCTGGTGAAGAAACAGCTCCTGGCTTAGAACTGTGTGAAGACGAATGCAGTGCTGAAAGTGGCTTAGGAGAGTCCACCCATCAAACAGCAGCTGAAGAGGAGGAAGTGGACCCAGAGGAGCACAACAGTACAAACACAGGAAATGCCAGTGGTGGCTGCCAGATCAGTGAGAGGAGAGGTGAGGAGAAGACATCAGAGGTAGGCTGTGAAGCAAGCAAAGACTCTGGGAAAGGGGAAGAAGAAGAAACTGTGAATGCAAAGAGTATGGATGACAGCTGTCAAAATGCTCCTTGTGAGAATGAATGTGGTGAGGAAATACCTGTGGAACATTCAGCTGAGGATCTTCAGACAGAAAGGACCCCTCTGGATGAAGATGCTCTGATCTCTGATAGTCTACCTAGTAGTCCAGGGATGGAACATGTGACTGATGAAGAGCATATTGAAAGTATTGTGGAAGACTCTAAGTCAGAGGAGTTGCAACTTGAAGACAATGAGGTGGAAGCAGACAGCCTCGGCAAAAGTGTCCCAAGTTCACCTCAACAGATGCCACCTGAGGAAGAGTTAGAAGTCTGTAAGCATGAAAATCTAGCAGTCCCTGAAGTGGTTATTGTGCCTGAAGAAACAGAGGAAAGAGAAACTAGCAGTGATTCCCTAGATGACCCATATGTGCTTCCCACAGAAAATGAAACTGCTCGTGATGGGCAGACTGATTTAGGAGCTGATCACAGTAAAAGGGGCGAATTAGGTATGGATGGTGAAAACAACTTGCTGCCCATTGATCGTAAAAACATTGTCACTAGAACACGGTCGCTCTCTGGGAAAATGCCAGGCTATGTCCCAGAAACAGTTCCAGAAGAAACTGGACCTGAAACTGATTTACCATCTTCCCACAATGGCTCTGGAACAGAAGATTTAGGCAATAATTTATTTTCAGTGGAAGGAAAACCTATGGAAGACAACAGGGCATTACCAACCAAGTCAAGACGTTTCATTTTGTATCCTCGATCTTATTCTGTTGAAGGGAGAGAGATGCCTGTCTCTGTTTACAGGGAGAGTGATGGTTGTGTACTGGATGATGGTAGAATAAAAAGGACAGAAGACAAATTATCTTTGCCTTGTGTCAATGGTTCCTCAGGTAGTTTTTTCCAGAGAAATCATCTTTCATCATGTGGCTTATCTACTCCGTCCTCAGCTGTTGATATACCACCTCCTTTTGAACTTGCCTACATCACCAAAAAGCCAATCACTAAAAGTTCCCCATCACTTTTGCTAGAGAATGACTCACCTGATAAGTATTCTAAGAAAAAGAAATCTTCCTTTAAGAGGTTCCTCACTTTAAAGTTCAAGAAGAAAACAGAAAGTAAAGTCCATGTAGATGTTAATGTTTCCTCTTCAAGGTCCTCATCAGAGTCCAGCTATCACGGACCTCCAAGGCTGGTGGAGCTGGACCGGAGGAGCCTAAGTAGCTCACCTCAACTAAAATCACACGTAGGGAAGCTCCGTGCATCTGAGTCTCCCTCGGCTGTTCTTTTCTATAAGGATGGTAAAAGAAAAGGAACACCAAAGTCCTTCAG